AAAGGATAAATCATGGCGTCTATGCGTCGATTTCAAAGACCTCAACAAGGCTTGCCCTAAGGATCCCTTCCCCTTCCCCCACATCGATCAGATTATTGATGCTACTACAGGACACGACTCATTGTGTTTCCTCGACGCATACTCCAGATACCATCAAATCAAAATGAAGGAGTCCGATCAAGCCGCAACGGCATTCATTACCCCATGCGGGCCTTTCTGCTTCAACACTATGCCCTTCGGGCTTAAGAACGCCGGCTCCACCTACCAACGCATGATTCAAACATGCCTGGAGAAACAAATCGGCAAGACAGTTGAGGCATATGTGGATGATGTCGTCATCAAGACTAGGCACGTCTAATCATTAATAGACGACATGCGTCTCACATTCGACAACCTCCGCACATATGACATCAATCTCAATTCAGAAAAGTGTGTTTTCGGTGTTCCCGCTGGAAAACTGCTGGGCTTCATCGTTTCCAATAGAGGAATCGAGGCAAATCCAGCCAAAATCCGAGCTTTGTCACAATTGGCTACACCAACAGACCTTAAAAAGGTCCAAAAACTAGCCGGATGCATGGCAGCTTTAAGCCGCTTTATCTCCAGACTAGGAGAAAAAGCATTGCCATTTTATCGCCTTCTCCGACGCACCGACCACTTCGAGTGGACGGATGCGGAAACAGCCGAACTGGAAGAAATAAGGTCTCTTTTAGCAAGCAACCCAATCTTGGCCGCGCCAAACGTCGGCGAACCGATGTTATTATACATCTCTGCAACACAACAGGTGGTGAGCGCGGTGCTCGTCATTGAGCGAGAGGAGGACGGGCACAAATTCCCACTTCAGAAGCTGGTATACTACGTATCCACTGTCCTCACACCATGCAAATCCCGGTACCCTCATTACCAAAAGATAGCATACGCGGTCTTCATGGCATCCTGGAAGCTACGACACTACTTCCAAGAGTGCTTAATCATGGTGGTTTCCGAAGTACTACTCAATGACATAATAAACAACCATGATGCTACGGGCCAGATTGCCAAGTGGGCCATTGAGCTCCTGGCATTTGATATAACATACAAACCGCGCCGAGCCATTAAATCCCAAGTATTGGCCGACTTCATCACCGAATGGACAGAGGCCGAACTCCCTAAAGAGTACGGTACATATTCCAACTGGGTCATGCACTTCGATGGCTCTAAAATGTTGGCCGGCTTAGGAGTGGGCGTCGTGTTAATGTCCCCCACTGGAGAGACGGTCCAGTACGTACTCCAAATATTATACACAGACTCCAACAATGCACCCGAATACAAGGCCTTATTACACGGTCTTCGGATGGCTGCCTCCATGGGCATACAATGCCTGGAGGTGCGCGGGGATTCAAATCTCGCAATATCCCAAATAAATGGAGACTTCAACGCCAAAGATCCGAAGATGGCGGCCTAACGTAACGCCATACTTAAAATATCAACTCGGTTCGAGGGACTCGAGTTTCATCATGTGGCTCGAGAAAGTAATCAAGCGGCGGATGTCCTTGCTCGCATGGGCGCCAAGCGTGACCCCGTCCCGCCTAACATCTTTCTGGAAAGGCTCTTCAAAGCATCCATGGTGTGGCAGGGTGAGAGCAGCAACACTAGTCTGGATCCGATTATACCCCCAGATTTCGAACACAATGCTGATATCATCGGGGGCTCAGCCACCAAAGTAACACCATCGGCCCATCTAATAATGGCAGTAATTGCCCCATGGACCGAACCAGTCTTGACCTACCTTAATAGGCGAGAGCTCCCTGAGGATCAGAATGAGGCTCGCTGCATTGTTCGGCGCTCGAAAGCCTACAAGGTCCATGACGGAGAGCTCTACAAGAAAAGCGCTACCGGAGTCCTTCAAAGATGTATTTCAAAAAAATTGCCTACGATCACGCAAGATTTATTTAGGAGAAGCATAGCAACGAGCGGGGAGAGTGAGTCCACGTACCCTCGTAGACCGAAAGCGGAAGCGTTAAGTAACGCGGTTGATGTAGTTGAACGTCTTCGCGATCCAACCAATCAAGTACCAAACGCATGGCACCTCCGTGATCTGCACACGTTCAACTTGGTGACTCCCTCAAACTCTAGATCCAGCTGAGGCCAAGGGAGAGTTTCGTCAGCACGACGGCATGGTGATGGTGATGAAGTTACCGACGCAGGGCTTCGCCTAAGCACTACGACAATATGACCGAGGTGGAAATCTATGGAGGGGGGCACCGCACACGGCTAAGAGATCAACTTGTGTGGGTGCCACCCTCCCCCGTATATAAAGGAGTGGAGGAGGGTGTCGGCCGGCCTCATGGGGTGCGCCCCAAGGGGGGAATCCTACTCCTACTAGGAGTAGGTTCCCCCCTTTCCTAGTTCAACTAGGAGGGGAAGGAAAGGGAAGAGGAAGAGAAGGAAAGGGGGGCCATCCCCCTCCCAATTCTGATTGGGCTTGGGGGGCGCTCCACTCCTCTTGGCCGCCTCCTCCTCTCTTCCACTAAATCCCATGAAGGCCCATTAACCCCCCCCCCCGGGGGGGGGGTACGGTAACCCCCCGGTACTCCAAAAAATGCCTGAACCTATCTGAAACATTTCCGTGTCCAAACATAACCTTCCAATATATCAATCTTTATGTCTTGACCATTTCGAGACTCCTCGTCATATCTGTGATCTCATCCAGGACTCCGAACAACCTTAGGTACATCAAATCACATAACTCATAATAGTTATCATCACCGAACATTAAGCGTGCGGACCCTACGGGTTTGAGAACTATGTAGACATGACCGAGACTCATCTCCGGTCAATAACCAATAGCGGAACCTAGATGCTCATATTGGTTCCTACATATTCTATGAAGATCTTTATCGTTCAAACCGCATAACAACATACGTTGTTCCCTTTGTCATCGGTATGTTACTTGCCCGAGATTCGACCATCCGTATCATTATACCTAGTTCAATATCGTCACTGTCAAGTCTCTTTACTCGTTTCATAATGCATCATCCCATGACTAACTCATTAGTCACATTGCTTGCAAGACACATAGTGATGTGCATTACCGAGAGGGCCCAGATATACCTCTCCGATACACGGAGTGAAAAATCCTAATCTCGATCTATGCCAATTCAACAAACACCATCGGAGACACCTGTAGAGCATCTTTATAATCACCCAGTTATGTTGTGACGTTCGATAGCACACAAGGTGTTCCTCCGGTATTCAGGAGTTGCATAATCTCATAGTCATAGGAACATGTATAAGTCATGAAGAAAGCAGTAGCAATAAACTAAACGATCATAGTGCTAAGCTAACGGATGGGTCTAGTCCATCACATCATTCTCTAATGATGTGATCTCGTTCATCAAATGACAACACATCGGGTCTCAAGTCTGCTTATACTTGAGCAATCTACACCAGTTTATGGCCTTAATTTGGGAGTTAAGCATGTCATCGTGAATGTCACTCATGAAAACATTGTAGACGCTTTGATGAGACACGGCGATGGACAGGAGGACGACGGAGAGGGTGACTAGTTTGTGCGCAAAGACTTGTGTGTATGTCTGCATATGTTACTGGAATCCTATATATCTAAGAGAGAGATCCCCACTACTTCTAATTATCTCTGCATGCGCACTTCCACATCATCAAAATTGTCGTAGTCGTTAGATTGCTAGCTTGATCCACTAGCATCTGTTCGATTTATGCATAAGAATCCTCTACTGCAACATGTATTAGTGCATTCGAAGTGGGTTTTACATTGCGTTAAATTGTGACATGCACCACAACCCATTACCTGTTTTCCTTATCATGCAAACATGCCACATCAGTGAGCCATACATGTACGTTATAAGTATATTTTTTGCATTAGCATATCCATGCAGCACTACCACATCATCAATTCATGCATCTAAATCATCGGTTAATTATTTATTTTGCATTATATTTTGTGCTCTCGTAGACACGGTGTGTTGTACGCTTGGAGCATACATATATATAATTGATATTTCATTGTTTTAGAAACAACACTCTTTTCCTCTATTGCTAAATAGCTACAACTCACTACCTATTTATCTAGCCATGCAACCGTCCCACGTCAGCAAATCATGCACTTGAGTTATAAGTCACTTTTTGCATTAGTACATCTATATGGAGCACTGCCATGTTACACCATCAGTTCATGCATGTAAGTTATGAGTTAATATTTCACACTAGATTGTGTGCTCTCATCGACATGGTATATATGTTGAACGCTTGGAACATACATGTATAGTTGATCCTTCACCTTCTTTTAACTAAATCTTTTTTTGTCTTTTATAGGTTATTTTGCTATATGCCTCATATTTTCTTAATGTTTTTAAAAGTTTGAATCAGGAATACTATTAAAATGTGACTTTAAGTAGTTTTAGTTGTTTACATAGCACCTAATAAATTATGCATTTTTTCCATTAAAATCACCGCAGCAACCCATGGGGTCTCATCTAGTTCTAGTGATAGTTACTCTCTTCATAAAGAAATATAAGAGCGTTTAGATCACTAAATCATGTCATTTAAGGTAATATACAACATAACCAGATAAATCACTGTTTAAATAACATCTTCAAGATTCATGCTTTCACCATCACCTATAGGCTCATCAACCATCCTAAAAGTAGTTGTCAAACAAGCTTTATGGCCTTCTCAGCTTCTACTAGCTTTCTCAGTTTCTAAGCAGCTCACACCAGCTTTTCTTAGTTTGTACTAGCTCGGGCCGCTTTTCCCGCAGCTTCTACCAAACTTCTCTCAGTTTCTATCAGCTCCAGATGCTTTTCATTCAGCCACGACGCAAAACAACGGCCTTGAAAGAGCCCACATGTCAGTTTTTTTCTCTTCTAGTTTTAAACCCTCAAATCATGTGAGAGATTGTATAGTTCTTTATTCCTGACGGCCTTGTCTTACCGTCTTTAATATTTGCTGTGGCTTGGTCTTAATCTTGTCTTGCGATTTTGTTGTTAAGACCTCTTCTCATAATGCTTGAGGGTGGGTCTTGGGCTATTTTTTGGCTTAAGACCCATGTTGGAGGCTATTCTTTGGTTTAAGACCCCATGTTTCTGTAACATTGAAGACGCCCTGATCCCAATACTGAATGAAAGAAAGGAAAAGTACCACCAATTGGAGATCGGTAGAATCATAGTACTTGTTAGCAACTCTGATGACAGCATGGGCGACATAGTTAAGTTACCTCATCGAGCCACCGGCAACCACAAGGCAACATAGTTAAGTTACATCATCGAGCCATCGACAACCGACAAATACACTGGTTTACTCTCAAAACTACGAATCTAAGAGCTGGACTGGTTTTATTCATACAGAACTCATCAGAGGTCAAGTTTCTCTCCAACCGAGAGCAGCACCCAGACATGGATCTGCCGAGGAAGCATGTCACCGCAATTGGAAAACAAGTAAAAATCGGTAGCAGCCGAACAGAAAGTGCAGAGTATTACTGTGTGCGTGACTTCACAACGCTAGATGTTACCATTCTTACCTGACATGCCTACTCAACATGTGAGAAACCACCTCCAGTCTCGGATTTTGTTCTGCACAGAGAAGAGCGAGGTATTACAAAAGTCCTCAGATGCTTAGGAGTATAGAAGCATCATCAAGAAACAACAATGATGTGCTGACGAGTCGTTTGCATGATGTGCTGGCACTGGGTAAATCAATATACAGCTCTATAATAATTTCAGAATAAATGTATCACAACACAAAGAAATAGATCAAATTTAACAAAGCTTACTTGTGATCAGATGGATTGGGCATTACTTCATACACAATTGTGGCCACAACATCCCTTTTGTTCTGCAGCAGATGGCGTGGATCAGTCACACATCAGCATTGCATGCTATATTTCCAGACTAAACAAACATCTTGACGACTGTACCTGAGTAGCTTCACCACGCAAACCAATGTAATATATCTTAGTCGTATCACCACCAAAGTTATCAGGAAAATGCAGAGTTAAGTTGGCCACACCTTGGAACCTTGAATACCTGACAATAACAGCAAGACACAAAAGGCCAAGAGAGGAAAAAGTTAAAGAGAGCTAACAATACAAGCTACTCCAAGTACAAACTATAACAGGATTTAAAACTTGGTAATTAGAAGCAACTCAGTAAACACATGAAAACAGAAGTGACCTAATACTTAAATCTAATACCCTATTCACAAAATGACTACTGTTGACTCATACAACACTGAGCATATGTATCTAATGAAGTTTAGCCGAGCAGTAGAGATGTGCTGTAGGCAATATTTCTTTTTTTTTCAAGAAAACACAAAAGAGCTTGCGTTTC